ACCAGTTGGTTATGACCGACATCAAGGGACCCTTAGACTTTTAATTATACTCCTTGGAAGACCCTCCACCAAGACGATTCGGACGAAGGTTTAGAAATGAAAGAGTACTCTTAAGATTTCCCATACAATGAGGGATGGAACCATTGAGGTTATTGTCAGATAAATCAAGAGTGATTAGAGAGCGCAAAGCGCATATGAAAGAGGGAATCTTTCCCGTGAAATTGTTATTGGAGCCAACCAAGTACTGCATAGATGGTCTGGTGATAAAGGGTAGCCCAAGTTCCATTGATCTTTCGAAACCGCTAAAAGTGTTGCTGGAAAGATCAACGAATATCAACTTTGGTAGAGTCCATAGCCAGCCAGGCACTTGACCTTTGATTTTGTTGTTGGAAATGTCTAGATTCGTCAATTTGTGCTGGCTTCTTAAGAGCTCCGGGAACTCGGTGATGCCGCATCCTGACAAGAACAACTGGCTTATCAATTGCGTAGGATGATGATCTGCAACTGAACTTTTGGTTGTGGCTGAAACATGGTTGCCTGAGAGATCCATTGAATAGATTGAGTTGAGATGCGAGGAAAAGAGTCCATTCAAGTCAATCGTAGTGGTGGTGTTCAAATGAGATAGGTTAAGAAGTAGGAGCGACTTGAGATTCATGAAGATACTAAAGTCAACTGGGCCTTGAGTATTGAGATGAGAAAGATCAAGGTCCTGAAGGTTTATAAATTTGGAAATGGAGTTCGGGATTGGCCCTATGAAGTTGTTATTGCTAATGTCTAGCACTGTTAGTGTAGATGGTGAAGATATATTCCCAAACTCAAGAGTGCCGTTGAGTTGGTTATTTCTCAAATCAATAGAGGTCAAAGACGGGATAGTGAAGAGAGAAGAAGGTAGAGTTCCAGTAAAACCGTTGCCCCATGCCTCAAAGTACTCCAAGTTAGAGAGTGAGCTCATGTTAGAAGGAAGGGTGCCCGTGAACTGATTGCGGGAGAGTGATAAATCCGAAAGCTTTTTCAGATTGAGTAGGGAAAGGGGGAAGATACCACTAAGTTCATTGGAATCAACATTTAAGTTGGTCAACTGGTTCAAACTGCCAAAAAATGGCATTTCACCAATGAAATCATTACCAGAAAGGTCTAGAAAAGTGAGATGTGAAAGATTTCCAATTGAAGAAGGAATGAAACCACTGAAATAATTTTTAGAGAGGTCGAGAGTGGTAAGATGAGAAAAGTTTTCAATAGAAGACGGGATTTGGCCACTGAAATAATTATAGGAAAGGTCGAGAGTGGTTAGAAAACGAAGATTTTGAACCCTAAAAAGACTGGTGTTGGAATGAAACAGGCCTTGGAGGCAGCTACGAGTAAGGTCTAGCTCGATCACTTCCCCGGACTTGGCATTGCACGTAATACCGTCCCAATAGCAACAGTCACTGTTATTCGCCCATGACTCTGTCTTCTTCGGAAGAAGGTCGTCGAAACAAGGCTTCTTAATCTCAAACTCCTTCTTGAGCTCTAGAAGTGCATCCCTTTGTTCGGGACGACACAAGTGTTTAGTAGGAACCCCAAACACATCTCGAAAATTAAAAGTGAATAAGAAGATGAGGGAATAAAAAGTTAAAGGAATGATACTCGTTGAGTTCCAAGAGTCTTTCATCCTTCTTCAAGCTAATGAAAAAGAAACAGAGAAAAATGGAAATTGTAATGGTAACTCTTTTTTTTTTTTTTTTGTATGTGTGTGTGTGTGATTACATTGGTTTCATGCTCATCTCTTTATACATAATAATAGACTACTCCACAAAGATAAATCAACTCAGCTTGACTCAATAACTTGTCTTTCTACCAAGTCCTTCTTTTACGTTGGATACAGAGAGTAAAAGTCTTTGTGTTTGAATAGTCAACATTACAAGTCTTGGTGTTAAATAGTAATTTTCTTATATACATTTTTTGATTTAGCAATTCCGCAGTTACCATTTGCATAAAACTAAATTCAGCTACATTCAACAGTTCTTCCAATACCAAAATATACGTAGTATGTTTATTTCAAGTAAAAATTCGGATTATAGCGATTACACAACTCGAATTAAAATATTTTGGATATCAAAAATTACACATCAAATTTATATTTTAAAATAAGTCAGATCATACAAATACGATATATGAATAATTCAGATACATAAAATCATTATCAGAATAGACAAGAGACGAATTTATGTTCGGATAACTGTAGATAATTTAAATAACCTTTAGATAACTAAATATATTTTTTCAAAATTTCGCAAAAACAACTCATACTTATGCTAAAATAACTATTTAAAATATCAAATTTTTTAAAAAATCTTAATCATCCTAATCATATTAATGATTTTAAACTACTAGAGAACAATTAACAATCAATTAGATAATCTATACTATATTATCATGTTTATTTTTCAATTAAATTTTCAATAAAACTTTGACAAAGATTTTTATTAATTAATTACATAGTTCAAAAAATTAAATTTGGAAGAACAACTTAATTTTGCTAACAATATATTTTTAATAATAATATGAATTATAGTATTTATTTATAGTATAAGAGTTAATTAGACTATTAGATAATTTTATCTATTTTATTTAGATATTTTTCTTAGTTATTATATTAATATTCATAATTATTAGACGATATTTTTCAATTAAAGTCTTAATTATTTCGACAGATTCTGCTAAAAATCACAAAAATTCAGTTAGATTCAGCGGTTGCCATTTGAAAATGTAAAAATTCAGCCAGATTCAGCTAAAAATCACTAAAAATTCAGCTAGATTCAGCAATTCAGCCGGATTCAACCACATTCCTCAGTTACCATTTAGACCCTTGGTGTTAAATAGTAATTTTCTTATATACATTTTTTGTTTTATTATTGGAAAGTAGTACATATGTTGTTTGTCCAAAAAAGAAAAAAAAAAAAAAGACGAAAAAATAGAAGCATAGCAAAGATGACGTGAATTTTCATAACACAACCGGTGGGGACAAGGCGAATACTTGTTTTTTTAGGGATACTTATTACTTTACTTGTCTTGTACGAGTAATAAAAATTAGTACTTGTGCTTAGCTTGTTGAAAACGAGTACTTGTTAAAAAATAAGTGACTTGCGATTTACTTGTCTTGTCTTATTACTTGCTACTTGCGAGTTACTTGCAAATATTTACGAATTACTTGTAAGTATTTACGAATTACTTGCAAGTAATTTACAAGTAATACTCTCAAATTTTTTATATATTTAAATTTTACTTTACTTTTGACGTAATTTTTAAATATATTTTTAAAATTAATATAATATAAAATATATGTATATAAAATAGTAAAATAATAACGAGTAGCGGGTCAAACAAGCCGAATATTAGTTTTTTTAAAACTACTTGTTGTTTGGCTTGTACTTGCAAGTATCTAAATTATACTACTTGGTACTTGCCTTTGTGGATGTCGGATTCACACACTCAAGTATTTTGTTAAGTGGGAAAGATAATTCTTGAGGGACAAAAATGAATGCGTAAAAACTTGTAAATTGATATGAAAATTGCTATATTATTTCTCTCTTTTTAGGAGGATCCCCTTTACATGGCCATTGGCCTCTATATTTATACATAGATAAGCGACATTAAAATGGATAATTAAGTACAATTATTCCTTCTTAAATGTGTCCGTTTTGATTCTTCGACTTTAATGCTCAACGTTTGAATTTGAGTTGACTCTGATTTTCATGGGCCTCGCCTTTTTGGCCCAAGTGTCCTTGAGCCGACCTACCCGCGTCTTCTACACCGAACTCACATCTCAGTGCAGTCACTTCGGACTATCGAAGTGGTGACAACCACTTCGACCGTCCCCTCGGTTCATGGGCCCAATGGGCTTCATCCTTTATGGGCCACCCGCTTGACTACGTGGCAATCTTTGGTTGGTCTCGTACTTCTGGTGCGGGATCCGACACCAACAATTAGCCCCCCAAGTTCTTCGAAGTGCTATTCCAATTCGGAGGACTTTAAATGCTCAAGTGGCCAAAGATTGCGCTCGAGAATCTTTCTGATTTCCCGCCGAAAATCTCATCACTCCTTTAATTTCGGCACTAGCCATTTTTAACCGAGTGACATCTGTCATCATTATGACCGTATATTGATTAATTACTATTAAAACGAGAAAAACCTTCCCACTTCCCACACGACTTCCGAGGCGGTTTCATCATTAGCTTGAGGTAACTTCTTTTCACCATTACTCTCTTCTTTTACTTTTGTACTTTAATCAAAACCTCTCTCTTCGTTCCTTCACCAAAACCCTTCTTCGCTGGATCTTGAATTTTTCTTTCTTCCCAATGACTTCCGATTCCGATAGACCCGAGTCTCCGTCTTTCGACGAGAGGCGTTCTAGTAACGACGAGTGCACCCGCCCTGGTGATATTGCCGGTCCGCACTTTAGGTCCACTTGTACTCTTCAATCCCTCGAGCGATTGAGAGAGCTTTGCCGGATCCCGCCGGAAATTATGGCGGAAGCTCAAATAGCTTCCCCCACAGAATCTCCAGAGAACCATCGCGATGGTTACTTCTGTGTGTATGAGATTTATTTCAAGGGTTGCGGGCTGACCTTTCCTCTTCCCGAAGCCCTAATTTTATACCTAGCGGCTCTTGAAATCGCTCTTCCTCAATTAACCCCCAATCTTCTTCGTACTATTCTCGGCATTATAACAATCGCGGCGGAGGCCGGTTACGTTATCGGAGTTGCCGAACTAAATGAGCTTCTAAGCGTGAGAAGCTCATCGAAGAAAACGGGGTATTTTTCAGCATATCCCAACGCCAACAGGAACATCATTTCGCATCTTCCAAACAAGGATGAAAATTGGCATCATCCTTGGTTCTTGATTAAGAAAACTCCCGCTTCGATTGGAAATCTTGCAGATTTCCTCCCTTCGAAGTGGTCGGCGAAACCTGGTAGAGATTAGGTCGCCCGTATCTCTCCCGGTTGTTTGTTTATCTTTATTAACTAACACCGTTGTTTCATTTCGCAGCTTTCATCGCTTCCAATCTCCCATCTGAAGAGTTCATCGAATTCTTCAAAATAATTCTTGAAGGGGAAACCCTTTGGAATTCCTTCACTCTCGAACGATTCATAGAGGCTAACCACAGACTCAGGATGAGTCCGCCTGGTCATCTTCACCAAATTCCTCCCCCTCCCTCAACTCAAGGAATGTCATCTCGGGCCCTTGCGGCCAAGCGTAAGTTGCTTTCCAAGCCGATGGCTGAGGCTTGCGAGGAGAAGAAAAAGTTTCTCGCGACTTCCATAGACAAGAAGGACTATAGTAGGACCTTGCTGGTCGATGATGGCAGTACCGAGGGAGCCCGATCTGTCGCTTCCTTCAGATTAACTCCTCGTCGCGACTCACGTTCTCCTCGGAGGGATCGATCTCCTTGCCGTGATTCACCTCGTCCTTCCCGAGATGATTTTAGTAACGAGCCAATTAAGAACTTGGTTCGCCGAAAGAGAGACAAGTCCTCTCGCAGTGATCCTTCCCCGCAGAGGGAAAAGTCAAGGGCCCGGACTGACCGCTCACCTCGGTCATCCCCTCCTTCTGAACCAATGGGTCCTCCACGACCGGTTGACATGTCCTCCTCTTCCCAGCCTGATAGTGGGAAGACCGCCCGGAGTGCGTCTCCGAAAAAGGGAGATTCTGAATCTCGAGATGCTCCCTCGAGGCTGAAGCCTGCTCTTGTACCTCAAGTCAAATCACTTTCAGGTTTGGTGATTTACACACACTTAAACCTTTGTCTTGAAATTCCAATTTTTACAATTCTTCCTTCTTCACAGCTATGGAGAAAGAGGGCAGCGTCTTCCGATGCTTCAAGACCCGATCGGGTTCGATCTTGCCAGACTTTGACAAATGGCGCCCTGCGATTCGTGAACGTTATTTGCTTCACGCACATCACTCATCTCGGGTTAGTTTCGCTTTCTTTTAAGTATATTTTTTATTGTATTGCCATTCTGCGAATCTGACTCGTCATCCCGGGTTCATGTACAACGTCAGGCTCAAAGCGAATTTAACGACATGGTCGAACATTACGAAGGGTTGGTCATTAGCCGGGAGAAGGAGATTGACATGTGGACAAAGAAACTCTCCGCCCTTGAAGCCGAACTCAGTTCTTCTGCCGGCTCCAAGCACGAGCTGGAGGACAAAGTCGATAATTTAACATCCGAGCTTGCGCAGGTAAAGGGGGAGCTGCAGGGTCAGTACGACCAGAACTTCAAGCTCCAGGAAGAGTTTTCTGGTATTCAAGGTAGGCTTCAAGAATCCGAATCAAACGCTGATTCCCTGAACAACCAACTCATCGAGCTCAACGCAAAGTACAAAGCGATCGCCAAATTGCGTGATTCCGAGTTGGCGAGGTCGGCGTCAAAAGCCAGAAAAGAGGTCAAGGGACGCGGGATGGAGTTGATCCAAGGGGCCATCCGATTCATGCAGACTGAGAAGGCTAGGTCGGACTTGGAGTCAGACATCAAGGAGCACGAAAGTAACCTGATTCTGCTGGATCAAATCCATGAAGCAGATTTCTCCGAAGAGCAAGAAAGGACCGAGCTGTCGACTAACCTTTCTGAAAAACGGAGTCGCTTGGCAGCTCTTCCCACTTCGGCCTTCAACCCGCTTGACTTCGAGGCATTCTTTACTGAATCACCTCAAATAAGTGAATCGGGTTTAGACTGGGCAGGTAACGCTTGGCTCCTAAGGCTTACCATTTCTTACCTTGTACCTTTGATTGACTGGAATTATTATTTC